TTAACTGAACTGAACTGAACTTCAGCTGAAAACTGGACTGACATAATTTTAATTTACTAGAACTTCTACATTAAGCTGCTTTGACACAATCTACATTGTAGAAGTGCTATAGAAATAAAAAATAAAATAAAAAAAACACATGAATGTTGATGAACAACAGGACAAAACCAAAGCTACTTTTCAACTTTTAGAAGTGATGGGAATCTAATATTTTTTTTGTATGTGCATTTTGTTTTTATTATTGATTTAGCGAAAGATGGAGCTGACAGCTTTTATTTTAGTGGTATACATTATTTGTATTTTACGATGTTTGTTTTCACAGAACCAACAAGAATAAAAGTGTAGTGCAGATAATAAGTCTAGCTCTTTTGTATCTGAACATCTTGCTCTAGTTTTGTATTCTACCATTTGTACCAAATTCATGATTGCTTTTTTGATGTAAAGTGTTTTTCATTGTGACTTTTAAATGCAAAAGCTTTTTTTACATTGCGATTTCGATTGTAAGGTATAAAAATGTGAGTCCGCACACTCTGTTTTACATCAGAGCGATTCAGTTCTGCGAGGGTAGAAAAATAATGATAATCTCCCCCCACCCCTGTTCTATATGGTAAGTTATTAAAACTAATTTCCGCATGGAAGAGTTGGACAGTAGCCTCCACAGCACAGCCCTTGCAGACTCATCTGTGTCTGGTAGAAATAGCACAGAAAAAGAGAGTTAATTATTTCCAGCCAAACCCAAAATGCCTCTGTCTCTCTCCACACAGATTGGCTTGTGATTTGCATGAGGATTTTGAGGAGCTTTTCAGTATGTTTGCCGTGTCTGTCCTGGCTGTCTGTTTAAACAGGCCTCGAGTAATGAAGAAGAGAAGATGGAAGTAAGGAAGGAGGGAGGGAGAGAAAGAGGAGGTGTGCTAAACCCTGGTTTCCCTCCTCAGCCCTTTTGGGACGTGAAGGCCCCAGATGGTGTAGGGGTGTGAAAGCAGTATTGTGTGTATGTGTGTGTGTGTGTATGTATGTGTCTGTCTGTCTCTCTGTCTGTCTGTACATTCGTTCCGAAATCAGGGGCGTCCTTGGTAAAAGAGCCCAGCCCTAATGTCATCTGTTTGAGTGGAAGCTTGTCTCTGTCTCTGAATGGAGACAAAGGCGAGTGGACACAACACCCCCCCTCCCTTGCCCATTATCTTTGTCCCTGTTGCCCTCTGCAGCCCGGAGCCTGACACCCAGTGCTGGGGGCTTTGATTAACCAAGTAGAGACACTGGGGGTCACAGTAGCCTCTGCCCTGATTAGCCTGCACTTGGCCACTGCTGACCCCTCCTTCCAAAGAGAATCATGTGAGGGCTCTGGAGAAACTGAGACACGGGACATAATGCACCTTGACCTGTCTAGACTCTGCTGTTAACAAATGGATAATGTGACCTTTTTTCATGTTGTTGATGTAGTGTTACCACCCTCTCTGCCTCTCTATTATTTATTTATTTTTAGATAATTAGGGTTAATGACTTGCCTGTCGTCTCAGTTTGTTTCTCTTTTACTTTATTTTTTAATTAGTGTTTATTCTTTGTAAGAAACTTTTAGAATTGAATTGTTGTTAGTAAATTTCTTGATAGGTTTACATCAAAAGTCAGAAAAAAGATCCTGTTCTCTATATTGTGAGACGTCACATTTTCTGTAAGTATTTTCTAAACTTGTTTAATGATGCTACGCTTTTATTGTTTTTCTGTACAGCTTGTATTATTTGTAAAATCAGTCAAGCTGTATTTCATTTTCGTATAAAGTTTTAAGCAGCTTCATTAGAATGGCAAATGCATTATGTTCACTGTAAAAAAAATGCTGGGTTACATAATCGATTTACGTTGGGACAACATAAAGGAGTTATGGTAACTTATTCGTTTTTTTTTTTTTTTTTTTACAAATTTAAGTTGCTTAAACATAAAACAATTAAGTTGTCTGAAAAAAACCCTCAAGAATTGTGTTTTAGCTCATTTGAAGTCATTTGAACAAAGAGCAAATATAATTGTTTTAGTGTTGTTTATACTTTACTTGAATGTGAAATGCAACTGATATACCCAGTATATTAATTAGTTTAGTAAATAAAGATATTTTAGTTTCATAGACTGTAAAAATGTTGCTGCATTAACCCTTTAAGACCTGAGATATCAAAAAATAGGCAGAAAATTCTTATTTTCTGGAACTGAGATGTTTATTAAACCATAGCAAACAACCATAGCAAACAAACAAAATAATACATCATTTTGCTTGCAACAAGTTAATTTTAATGACAAAATTATTTTGCCCTTGACATTTTGACAACAAAGAACATTTCAGGCAGTTTTTACCGGTTACCTTTTATCAAATCATATACAACATGTTTTTAAACAAAGTATTGATTAGGTGGTTATTATATAGGTCTTAGAAACTCGTGTATCAAATATGATACATGCGGCTCTATAAGTATTGTTTCATTGTACTTGGAGAAAAGTTTTACGAACACTGCAATCTGACTGTTAAGGTAACGCGCATGTTCAAATCAAGTGATATTTCATGTTTTTCAAAATGAATATTGGTGGACATGTATAGCGTTTTCTCATGTTAAAATTAAAAAGGGGTTCTATATCTGAGATTATGGGGTTGCTATGTTTAAGTCGACTCTGTTTCTGAATGGAGACAAAGGTAAGTGGACTGTTTAGGTTTACCTTGTGTTGGGTTGGTTGAACACTATCATATCATATCTGTTGCTTTATTTTTTTTAAATTACTGTGCACACTTCAGCAAAGAGATATCACTTTGCTGATTACTTTAATACATAAAGATGAGATTGTACTGTTGTTAACCAGAAGCTAACAGTAAAAGAAATTAGTTAAAGGAATAATTCACACAAAAATTAAAACATACTCTGTTTTCTCACTCTTAAGCAAGTATAAATCTTATACTGTTTCTAGTTTTAAAAAAATGTTAAGCTGGTTTATTGCAGTGTAATTACAGTTTCATGTTGCAAATGAGTAACTTTCTGATAAGTAAATTTAAGTAATATTGTAATTTGATGAAGTATTATGTGAACTCAAATGTATTCAAAGTTTATAAATATCTGTTTGCTCAAATGATTTAAGTTGCCTTGACTCGTTTATGAGGGGTTAAAAGTGTGGCACAGATATGAATGTTGTGACCCTTAAAAAATGTTTATTTGTTACACGTAAGGTGGAAGGGAACTGAATTGTAAAACCATATAATTCTCCTTACTTTAGTATTATGTGCTGAGTCAAGGTCTCTGGTAAAATATGATGATTGCGCCTTTTGGGAGCTGGATACACGAAACCTGATGACAGCTGGAAAAATTTGGTCACTGGAATATTGCAATTTCAAAATCTTTCTGAAACGCTGGTGTGAATGTTGTGTTTTTTTTTCCTTTCATTACGAATGGCTGAAGGCATAGTTTGCACACTGAAAGCGCAGGAAGTGCCGCTGTTGTTGTTCCTGTGCGGGCGGGTGGGTAGATAGGTGGGTGGGTTGTTGGTTGGTTGGTTGTCTGTCTGCACTCCTTCTGCTGCTTTGCCGTCATGCAGCAGTTTCTTCCACAGATCTGGAGTCTGTGATGGTGGAGTGTTCTGTCAGGTATGGTCAGATAAATCGGACCCTGGATCAGCGTTGGTATAGAGATGGTTTGTACCAGTAAAGGAGGGTGCCGGGGGTTGTTATGGTCGTGCTCTGTGTGGCTGCTCCTGCTCCGCCCTTTAACCAGCCACTCAGAGCCAAGAAAATGGCAGCTGCAGTAAGATTCCCCACCCGCCCCTCCATTTCCCCAATCCCCCACAACACCACCACCTCCACCACCCTTTTTCCCCGCTCGCTTTTCCCATGTTTTGTCACTTTTGAGGTAAAACGAACTGGAGTCTTGTGTCCATTGCAGCTTTTCACACTGACGCTGTGTATGGCAGCTTCTCTCACGCCCTTGTTTTGAGAAGTGCCCAGGTTTGTGGGCTAAAATGAAACGCGACAAACATGTTCTACCTCAGCCAGCTGCATCCTTGCACAGTTCATAACCATGAAGAATTTAATAGAAGTATTTATCCTCGTACAAGAGATGCTTTATTGAATGCATTTCATGGCAGTCAAAACGTCACCCGTGTTTTAATGAATGCTGTCGTATGTGTGTCATTCATGATGAATGGATGTAGTCAGGGTTTTATTTGCTGCTGTACTTTCACATGGTGGATCTGCAAAACACACTCTGAAAAATGCTGGGTGGTGTTAACCCAAATTTGGGCAAAATATTTAGAACCCGATGATTGGATTTGCCTTTATTTTACACACATTTGTGTTCAACAGTACAGCTTTTTTAGTGTGGTCTGTAGTTTTGAGTGTAGTTTTGATAAAAATAAGAAATACATAATATTAATAAATAGATTCGATGACACCTAATTGTTTGCAGAATCTTCCTCCTGCTTTGCTATGTCATTAATTCCCCAACTGCTCAATCGATTGTGTTTAAGTTATGTGCTGTATAATTATTCTGTTTCTAAATGGGCAGTAATTTAGATATATATGACCAAGCTTAACTCACTTAAATGTCCAAAATAAATCGTTGTTGCCAAGAAACAGTCTAAACAATGACCCAGTTTGTTTGCCAGTACAGCCTAGAGAGAGGCAGGTCAGGTTTTGTGGAGGACGTAATGTAACTCCCTCCGAATCTACTATAATGGAGCTCTGCCCTCTGATATTGACTCTCTCCCTATGTGTTTGTGTATGAGAGCAGGTTAGGAGAATATGTCAAGGTTATTCTGTGCAAAACATGTGACCCTCCCTATTTTCCAGCTTGAGCTGATGATAAAATAGAGCTTGACAGTTCAAATAAATAGATCATTGCATGTCAGGCTTAAAATTACACTGTGTATTTGAATTCTGTACTTTCAGATGGTGTCACTGAATTTGCGTGTGTGTGTGTGTGTGCATTTTGCTCTGTCCTACTGATGTTCTTTTTTGTGAATTTGTCTGTTTATTACAGGATAGTGAAGAAGAAGAACTGTGATGGTGCTTCTGCAGAGGTGTGATACAGGTAGTAATAATAATGTAATTGTATGTATATATTTCCTAACTGCATTACACTGTCCTTCACTTGTTTGTAGTACTACACTCCAATCTATATTGCCACTTTATACACTGTCAATAAATGGAAAACGTATAGCAAGTCTCAACTACTATAACATTACCAGTTCAACAAGTTAATGGGACAGAAAATTCTAATTCTTTTAGTAAGTGGCACAAATGATCCATAATATCAGACTAATTTACGAGTTTTAGAAAAGTTTGGACACTTTATACACTGTAAAAATGTGGAATAAAAATATAAGTGGATTTAATATAAACAGTTTTTTCCCAAAAACAAATCTCAAGAATTGTGTTTTAACTAAATTCAAAAGTGTTTTGGGTGTATAATATACAAAATATGAAAGACATGATTAATACAGAAAAAAAACATGGAAACCAGTTAAGAGGCCAATTGTTTCTCAGGATTTAGGATTTATAATTGTTAGTACTTATTTTATACTTACTTATGTTAGTATTTTTGCAGTTTGTTCAAAATACTTACTTAAAATGAGCTGAAACGACACAATTCTTTAGTTGTTGGGGACAACTTTAATTGTTTTATGTTAAATCAACTTAAGTTAATTTACATTTGGAAAACACAAAGGGATTGTGTGGAACTCAGCATTTTTTACAGTGTACAATTATAATTATAAATTGTCATTAGTTTATTTTATGTTACTGAGAACATTTCTTTTCAGTAAACAAAATAGTGCAATGTTTTACTTTTAGAAAAGTTAAGAACACACTATTTGGTGTAAAATTAACCTGCTTTTCAATCACAACAAATAAAAACATTTGCGATTTTGGATGGTTTTTGTGTTCGAAAGAAAATGTTTTTCGTGCTTGTTCTAAATTTGTAAGCACTTTTTTCAGTCATTTAGCATAAAATATTAATAAATCCAGTAAATCCAACAAATTGCAAGTGGTCTTTTTCCATAGCTGTAAAACAACAACATTAATATAAAACAACAACCCAGTGTCTAAGTAATAGCTAAATTATTACAAATGAAAAGAAAGAAAGACAGAAAGTTCTTGCTTTTAGGCTTTCATTTAATGTTTGAAATGGTATGTTCTGAAGTTTTTTTTTTTTTATCAGGAATGAGCTAGCAAACACCGATCATTCACATAATATTTGTAGACCTTTAAACTGAATAGGATGATTTAAATGGTTATTTTGTCCTGCTCATGGTTAGTGGGAGTCACGGCCAATTATGTCTCCAAATGTCGTACAGTATAAGGTCAAAAGTCGCCGTGCTGTATTAAAAAGATGACAGTAACCATTCTGTAAAGGTCAGCCGTTCGGTTTGTTTCCAAGGTGCCACAATGACTCCTCTTGTGAGCTTTTGATTCACTTTAGATTAGATTTAGTTAATGATATATCATCCTGTGTAATGACAGAAGTAAACTTTTGCAATCAAATATTCTAAGTTGGCCAATACAATGTTTAAATGTGCCCTTTTGTTTGCAGTTACACTCATATCAAGCCAAGTTTCTGAGTAGACAGTTAATTAGTTTTAATGTGTGGCTATTTTAATTATATTTGGAGTGGTGTGCTTCTTAAGACACATTATGAATGTAAAGAGGACTCTTGAACCCTCACTAGGCTGATTTAAATGCTTTAAATCAAATAAAGAATTTAAATTTAAAAATGTAAAGTCTGTGTGTGTGTGTGTGTGTGTGTGTGTGTGTGTGTGTGTGTGTGTGTGTATGAGTGTTATTCGGGGTCAGTAAGTAAATTTTTTTTTGTAAGCGTTTTTTATAAAGCAACACACTGTAAATTGCAGTTACAGTGCTTAGCATACATAGTACACCCCTCACAAATCTTTCAAATTCATATTTTTACTAGGAAGCTATACAATATTGTATTTGTGTATATACATTAGATTAGTCTGTACTGAAGCCAAATCTGGAGCTTATGTAAGAAAATAACTTCCAATAACGTTCCAAAAACTAGTACACCTAAATTTATGTTAAAAAAATTAAATACAAATAAAAAAGGAAAAATGAAGAAAAGCAAAAAAAAAGAAAAATGTAGTTGAAATTTTGTAGGTTTTAATTTATATTTGCAATATTTTGCTTGCATTTTTTTATCTTTAATAATGTTTAAATTTCTAAATATGTTTGGTGATCTATATATATATATATATCTTTTGTTTAAATGCACCAAAATACATTGCCTATATTCAGTGAGAAATGGATAAAATATTTATTTTCAAAATGGGGTGTACTCAATTATGCTGAGCACTATAGTTGCTTTACTTGAAAGTGAGTATATGCTTTTTTTAAGTGTTTTTTTACTTAAGTAAGCCTTTTTGCAACTTGGAACTATTGTTGCATTATTTTATTTAATTATGCATATTTGATTTACTTAATAATTTAAGTCAAAATATTTACTTGCTTGTTTTTTAGGTAAAGCCACTAATTGCTTTTGAAGTCTATTAAAAATAATACATTAAACCAAGTTAACATCAGTTTATTCCTGTCTTACACATGGTTTGGGGGGAAAAAGGTGAGATTTATTGTCGTAATTTAAAACAACTATTTTCTGTTATAAAATACTTAATGTCATTAGTCCTGTGACGGCAAAGCTGAGCTTTCACCATAATTTCTCCATTGATTCTCAGGAATCATTCAAATGTGCTGATCTGCTGCTCAGGAAACTTTTTCTTCTTTTTTTTAAATAAATGTTGAAAACACTTGCTGTGATTAATATTTTTTGTGGAAACTATGATACTTTTTAAATGTAATTAATAGAATTGTAAAATTATAATAATACTAATAAACCATTTACTTGAAATAGAAGTCATTTGTAACATTAAAATGTCTGTCACTCTTCAGCATTCTTGTTGATTAGAAAATAAATGAATAAAAATAATGTCATCAACTTTGAACATCAGTAATCCTTCTGAAAAATGACTGCATTCATGAGTACAATCTTTACTATTTATTCTAAACTGTTTTTCAAGGTGTATCAATAAAATGCCTGTGTTTTCACATCGAAAATGTTCATGGTTTCAATAAAGTTACTTCCAACTTCAGGCTCACCATCTTTTTCAAATCATACCATAACCGTTAACTTGTTAACAAGTCCACGTGCCACTCACTACCCTCTACGACTGCCACTTGTACCGTACAAGCTCATTAAAATTTCTCATTAAACTTTCTTGAAATTAGTGCAACTCATGTGGCGGTTATATGTGTGTGTGAGAGACATGAGAGAGAGACGGAGCGAAAAAGAAAAGCAAGAAAGCGAAGTTTCAATGCCTCTGCTTTCTTTTGTCCTCTGAGTTGACTTCTTAGGAGCCCATTGCCGGAGCTCCATACATGAGAGATCAAGAGTTACCAAGGTGCTCAGAAGATAGACAGACACACACTCATTCACTCAGACTCATTTCCTTTGCATGTCAGAGCCCTGCTGGGGTTTCAGTAGAGGTCACTGACACCACCAGTGGAGCTTTCCCCCTAAATGACAAAAAAAACAACCCCTGTGTTAGAGTATTTGTGTCTTCTCTTCACAAAACTCCAAGATGTTAGAGGAGAGTTGATTTAGATGTTGTTGTGTTATGATGGACCTGATATTATATTAGTCAGGGAATGTTCTGTGAAGCATTTCGAGGTAACTTCAGTGGTCTAAAAAGGTCAGTGTATTTTGTGAACTGAAGAAGTTGTTGTTTGCAATTGTATACAACATATTAGAAATCCTCGTTCCCATCAACTAGCTGCAGCATTAACTTGTGTTGTAACAAGATTAAAATATATTTGTCCTGCGGATTAGCATTCTTTACCGACCCTTTTGCTGCTTTGCCGGACTGGTCTGTGTGTGCAGCAGTCTTTTTGATCTGCCGTGCGTAGTGAGGACTCTGGCTTGGGTCTGGCCATCCGAGGGCCTGGTGTGAAATCGGCCTGATGTCATCCCTTTTGTCCTCCGTTTGCATCCCTCACTCCTTTAATGACGTTTCCGAACCTCGCAGCCGCATTCCTCAGTGGTCCATAGGAAGCGTTTGGAGGACTCTGGGCAGAAAAGCACAGTGGGAGTGTTTGGAGTTTGGGGAGGGGGGATCTTTTGTATGGAAAGCAGACGAGTAGACATCCGTATTCTGATACTTTCCCTCCACCTCAGGCTATTCTATTGTTTGTTTGAATCGACTGAAGTGAACCCTGATATCAGGAGTTTAGTAGTTGTAGAGTTTGGTAGAAATGGTTATGATGCCATAATTGAATATAATCATGTATCAGGGCGCATACAAGCAGTCTGGAGTGACAAACAAGATTTATTTGCACATATTGTACACTTGAACTACCCTCTGAGAGATTGCACTGTGAAAATAAAGGATCTTTTATATTAAATGGTTCCATAAAGAGACTATTACATCTGCTAAACTTTTATTCCACAAAAGGTACCTTATAGCAGAAAGTTGTTTGGATTATTAAGTCATGAAGAAATTGTTCTTTAAAGAACTTTTTACAAAAAAAACTGTAATGCATTATTGTTTTTAAGAGTGTATAGTGCATGTGTGTGTGTGTTTGTGTGTTAGAGAGAGCGAGAGAGAGTTAAATGTGGGTGTAAGGTGGAGAAATCAAGATGGGGTGTGGGCAGGATTGAGGATTGTTCCTTGCAGAGGAAATGAGCCACCTGCAGCCATGACAGGAGGTTTTGACCTTCATTTGGGGTTTCTCTCTCTCACTCTTCTCCCCCCCCCCCTTTCTCTCTCTCTCTCTCTCTGTGTCTGTCTCTCTCATTACTTTGCTCACACACAAACACACATACTTTGGCTCTATAGAAAGCCAGTGAGGGACCTCTCCCCTTAACCATTGGGCATCACTTCCTCATACAAGTGGCGCTAGAAAAGAAATGTAGATGAGGCATTGTCATTGAGCAGGTCAGTGCATGGGAAATGCCAGTTGTCTGTGGCCCCCATCTCCTCCCCCCAGAGGACAGGTAGACTATGACAAGATGTTTTGTTTTAT